TATTTTATTTCTGTATTTTTTTTCCTGTAGTTGTTCAGATTGACTGGTTTTGGTGATTTTTTTTTAATATTTAAACAATAAACAATTAATTTAGAGTCTTCTCATGTAACCAGAGAGAAGCCTTCAGGCTGACTTTAGTCTTTGTGGTGACACAGGTTTGTCCTGTTTGTGTTGAGGTACTGCTGGGCCTGCTGCTCCAGGACCGTGGACACACTCCTCGCCTCCTTGGCTTCTGTGGAGACCTCTACATGACGGAGCGAGTCCCTTATGGACCCTTGTATGGGTTCTCGCTGCCCTGGCCCCTTGTTTCCTGGGTSCCTGGTGGTCTGCAGCGCACCATGGACCAGTGGTTCACGCCGTCGTGGCCTCACAAAGTCAAAATCTCCATGGGTCTGCTGGAGCTGGTGGAGGACGTCTTCCACGGCACCTACGGCAGCTTCCTGATCTGCGACTTCGCCGCAGCTCACTTCGGCTACACGGACCGCCACGAGCTGCGTCTGACCGACGCGCGAGTGCTGGTTCCCGAGGACGAGTTCCGACGCAACGTGCGGGTCCTGAAGTGCGAGTCGGACGCAGACTGYGTGTACGGGGCGGACTGCAGGACGTCCTGCGACCCGCTGGAGAGGCGGTGCAGGGAGGAGCCCGTCCAGCCCAACCTGGCCAAGGCGTGCGGCGCGCTGAAGGACTACCTCCTGCGTGGGGCGCCTCCCGGGATGCGGGAGGAGCTGGAACGGCAGCTGTACGCCTGCATGGCTCTCAGGGGTCACGCTGGGCAGATGAACATGGAGCACTCGCTGATCCTCAACAACCTGAAAGCTCTGTTGTGGAGACAGATCTCCCACACCAAGGACTCGTGACGTCCTGCTGTGGAGCAGGAACCACGCTGGAGTCRTTTCTGTCCAACAAACATGGTGGTCCTGCCTCTTCTGTTCCACTCTCTGAAGTTTAGGGCCCAAAATATCTTTAGTTTTATAAGAACTTCACTGCACATAATTTTTGACTGTGTAACTTTACAAACGACACCACCAATATTTGTGTTTATTTAGACTTTTTATAAGAAAAAAAGAACAGATTTATTTTTCAAAGTCAGTTTTTCACCACATGATTCATATGTTTATAAATATCGTTTATAAACTAAATAATTAACTTACAAATTAAATATTTAGTTAACAAGCTAAACATTTAACTTGTGACTTAAATATTTAGTTTTGAGCTAAATGTTTAGCTAGCCACCTAAATATTTAACTTACAAATTAAATATTTAGTTAACAAGCTAAACATTTAACTTGTGACTTAAATATTTAGTTTTGAGCTAAATGTTTAGCTAGCCACCTAAAT